AATCGACAACCTTCAGGAAGAGATAGCTGCGCTGCGAATGAGCGTCAACAAACAGAGTAAATGCTTCGCATGCGGGACACTGGAGAAGGAATTGTCCGTAGAGGCGGAAAAAAAAACGTTTTGAACTATATAATATGAGTTCTGTTTTTCCGACTAGACTAGATATCGTAGGAGCCATAGATCGAGGCGCGGTGTATGCTAGATTGCGAATAAATGGTCGGGAGATCGTGTGTGTCATAGATACAGGGGCGGCAGTCTCTCTAATAGATAAGAGGCAGTCTCAGAACAAAAGACCATGTGTGCTAACGGTCCACATGGTTAAGGGACATGCACTGGATATTGCGGGCTTGTCAGATTGCGTCGTTGAGATCGGGAGTCGGAAAATCAGGTTCCCATTTATTATGACCACGCGCCTACAACGCCCAATCCTAGGTGCCGAGTTTCTGAGAGAAGTGGGTGCAGTGATTAACACGAGAACAGGAATAGTGGCAACGAAGTACGGGTCGTTCAACACTCAGGAAAATAGCGAGGTAGCAGAGATTGAAGTACCAAAAGCACCGTACCCAGAAACGCCAAACATCATGAAGGTGGTTAAGAAATACGACAGATTCTTCACAGGAGATGGAGGCCTTAATGGTTACTGTGACAAGGTTCAGCATGAAATCCCAGTGACCAGTCAGACAACGACAGCACCACACGGCGAATACCATGTCACTTGGAACAAGAAGTTGGGCGCCAGGTTCAGGAAATGCTAGATGAAGGTATTATTGAAGAGGCTGACAGTCCATACAGTTCTCCAGTACTTTTAGTAAGAAAGTCAAATGGGAAATATAGATTCTGCGTGGACTTTCGGGAGTTAAAAGCATAACGCAGCTGAAGCCATGTGCCATGCCGACGATAGCTGAGACACTGGATCGTTTGCAGAATATGAAAGTATTTACAGTTCTGGACCTCCGCTCGGGCTACTGGCAGCTACCAATAAAAGACAGTGATAAAGAGAAAACAGCATTTATTGTGGGCAAGAAGCAATACCAATTCAAGCGAATGCCATTTGGTCTGGCAGGGGCGCCCTTTACATTTAGACGATTCATGATGTTGTTGCTGAAGAATTTAGAGAACGTAGAGGTGTACGGCGATGACCTGGTGGTGTACAGCCAGACGGAGGCAGAACACATAGAATACCTTGAAGCTGTTTTGAGACGTATCGATGAGTTTGGACTCCGCATCAATAAGACAAAATCTCAAGTAGCCAAGAAGAGTGTTACGTTGCTGGGACACAAAGTTGGAAACGGCGAAATAAAACCACTACCCGAGAAAATTCTGACAGTCAGAACTATTCCAGTGCCGAATTCCAAGAGGAAACTGCGACAATTCTTGGGTAGAGCAGCATTCTACAGTCGGTTCCTCAAAAATTTCAATGAGATAGCAGCACCGTTATATAAGCTACTGGGCAACCCCAAATTTGTGTGGACGGAGGAGGCACAAAAAACATTTGATCACATCAAAGAACTCCTAAATGACCAGGAGATGACGTTAAAACTACCAATACCTGGTAGGCCATTTATCGTGTCCACCGATGCAAGTGATTATGGAATAGGGGCAGTCCTGAGACAGACTGAAGGAGTAGTGGAGTATGCCAGCCGTGTTCTAACACCGGCAGAACAGAAATATTCTACAATGGAAAAGGAATGTCTAGCGATAGTTTGGGCTCTGGAGAAGTGGAGATCGTACCTCCTCGGTCAACGATTCCATATTGAAACGGATCATAAACCTCTACAGTGGCTTAAGACAGCGAGAGACCCCAGAGGAAAATTATCACGGTGGGTGTTACGACTGCAAGAATATGACTTCACCATCGGCCATGTGGCAGGGAAAGAAAACTGGTTGGCAGACTTCTTATCAAGATCTGACGAAGAAAATGAGCTACCTGAGATCGCATACGGCGTACATGCAGTGGAATGGAACCCGTTAAGACTTATTCGCCTTCAGAAGTCGGACGCGACACTGAAAGAAGTGATCAAAGCCATAACTGAAGGGAGAGAGACACAAACGTCTGTGGGAGATAAAGAGTTGAGAACGTTGTTGACGCAGAAAGAACGCCTACGGATGAATACTTATGGAATGCTAACGTGGCGAGAAAATGACGGAAGCTGGTTGGCAGTGATTCCGAAATGTCTACGCGACAAAATGATACAAGAATGCCACCAGTTAGCTCATACAGGTGTCTCACGGACAGCTGACCTTCTCAGACAAAGTGCATACTGGCCAGGTATGAGCGAGGATGTTGCCAAATACGTGCTGGGGTGTCCTCATTGTCAACTGATGAAAGGTGATCGGTATGTACGGCCGCCACTGCAGTCGATTCCAGTAGCAGCGGTTGGTGACCTGTGGTCGGTGGACGTAATGGGACCATTTCCGCAGATATCTAGTGGCAACCAATACCTGTTGGTGATGACGGAGCATGCTACATGATGGGCAGACGCTGTCGCCATTCCTGACCAACGCGCGAAGACAGTGACCACAGCGGTGATGCCGCATATTATCGCGGATCACGGTGTGCCGAAGATGATACTGACCGACCAAGGTCCTTGTTTTGAGAGTGAAGAATTTAAATCCTGTTTGGAGCAGCTTGATATCAAGAGGATAAGAACGATGCCGTACCACCCGCAGACTAACGGTTTGACAAGACGGAATAACCGTACACTGAAGGAGTGGCTAGCTTCGAAAGGAGGAAATTGGGAGACGGAACTGCCGTTAGTATTATTAGCTCATCGAGCCTCGGTACAAGGAACAACCAAGAAGTCGGCGTTCCAGTTAATGTATGGCAGGAAACTACGGCTCCCAATACATAGTAAGACCTGGCCCCAACAACAGCCTTGGAACATGACAAGATTGAGAGAGGAGCGGAAACAGGCTATCAGGAATGTGGAACGAAAGCAGAAGGCTGATGCTGAAAAATCTGAGCACAGAGAAGGAAGTAATGGAAACCATTTGAGGTTGGAGATCAGGTGAAATGTAAAGAACGAGGATATACGTCAGGAGGTGAGTATGGCAGAAGGAAACTACTTCCGAAGTGGGAAGGACCATACATCATTACCGAGAGACGCGGTTCAATTTATACCATCAAACAAGGGAACAAAGAGAAAAGAGTAAACGCCAGCCTACTTCAAAAATGGAAGCAGTGGAAAAAAGACGATACAGCGAGTGAAAACCAAGAGAAGAGAGCACCAAGACGATCAACACGGTTGCAAGCCCAGAATTTTGAGGGGGCGATGAGTGTAGTGGGCGTTGCTGATAACAACAGATATAAGTAATATGTATCGAGAGGGTGGCAGGAATCATAGGGAATTACCGGCAATGGGTAAGATTTCTGCCAGTAGCAACGCAGGGGATAACACGGGCGTAATACAGGGGATGCTGCTGATAAGAGCGTATGAACAGCAGGTCAAGAGCAAATCAAGACACGAATGGAGGAGGAGACTGAGACATTTGCGAATGGTTGGGTTAGTGCAAGGTGTACCATATGTAACCACCACCATTCCAGTTATTCAGAAAAAGCAGTCTACCGTCGAGTTTGGCTTCTGTCTCTATTCAGTTATCCGTAATCCATTAATGAAAAGTCAGGAAATCAGTTAAAATCATCCAGAAGCTGATATAATCGATAAAGAAGACCCACATAAAAAAACTTCCCGTGAATATTACTTCACACTTGGGCTCCGAGTGGAAACATACCGCTTCAGTGGCACGTCGCCATTTCATTCTCTTCTCTGCAGTCTTCTCAACCTGGCTTCACGACTGCCCAAAACCTCTCATTTCTTCCTCACACCATCTCCTCCATGTCACTCTCGCCTCGGATGCCCAACTCGTCGTTTACCATTTCAGTTCCACTCGAGGAACTGGTCTGACCTGGTGCATGATGTCCCCAAACGGTCTTCCTGCTCAGTGTGTGTCCAATCCAATCCAATCCAATCCAATCCATCTCGACTTTCTCCGGTATATTTGTTGGGCGATGGGTTCTTGGTTGGTTGCCAGGACAGGACAGGACAGGCCATAGTTGCTTGTTGCTTATTCGTATTATTCTGGCCATCCATCTGATCTCCATCTTCAGTATCGAGTGAGCGTAGTGGGCAGTTGTCGATGATGTATGTCTGCAGTATGTTGGAAATGCTTTTTGTAAAGCGCCAAGTCTGTCAACCATCTCATAGAAGCAGTGACTTACTTGACTGAATTAGTGTTGAAAATCCAAATCTTGTTCACGCTTTATGCTGAGTGGAGTGCAGTAGATCTCCACACTGATTTCAGGTTAATGAAGGAATGCCTGTCTTGCTTTTCCGATCTTATTTTTAAACGATGGAGATCTGTTCCTCAGTATAGAGATGAAGATGTTGTGATATCCTGTTAGCTTCGATACTTTATCATGCGAATCAATTGTAAGTGAGCTTACGACTTTTTTGTTGGCAGACTTCAGAACTGTTAGTGATTACAAAATTATGTTTGAGAACGAATAGCGCTTTAAAATACATTTAAAAGCAATATATTGAGACCGAGCAAACAGGTCGATACCAATACGATTAGTTAGTTTCGAATAATATTCTTTAGAGCCTTACTTGTTCCATGTACCTTCAGTACAACCTGTCTTCTTTGAAGTCAACATCTCATTTTGTTTTCTAGTTAAAACATGTCGTCGCTTGGTGTCAATAATGGCGCGATAGCACAACATTATCATTTGTATAAGTGATTAATTTAAGCAATATAAGGAATTGTTTAGAAACACTTGTTTCTGTTCTTTTCAGAAAACATGAAGAGAATAATTATGAAATAGAATTTCTTAAAGAGTAATTTTATTCAATATTTGAACAGTTTCAGAAGTTATTATAATGAATTATTTAATATAGATTAATTAGTAGTTAAAATTGACAGAGTATGCAGTTAGTGTTCATGTTTATATAGGAATGGGTGTTTCTGAGTGTATGCAAGGGATAAATTCAAAGCATTTGTTATTAACCCCATGGTAAGTCAATGTAGGCAGCACGTTTTTGGAAAGCTCGTTTACCCCAGGGTAAATCCATATAGGCAGATCTTTTAGGTAAGTACATCGAACTTGTGTATGCATCATTTTGAGATGAAGGAAGAACTTCATCAGGGATGAATACTCTTTCTACTCCTATGTGATGTGGTAGAAAACGGTATAAAACATTCTGTTCATTGGTATTTGTTGTTGGCAGGGAATTACAAACACGTGTTATCCAAGGTAATGATAGGTAAAGTGTTGCTAGAATAATTAGACACAGTTTGCTTACTGTGAACATATTGGTGGTTATACGATATGAATAAGAATCTGAAAAAAGCATCAAGAGAAAATAACTCATAAAATATGGTTTTTATCATTTAAAGTGGTAAGCTTCCTGAGAATACTTTCATATTAGATTAGTTTATTTGACATAGCACTCAGTGAAACAGAATCAATTACTTAATAACATCCTGAGTAGTATTTATTGCTCCTATTTGCGTCAAGATGACCATATAACCTTCAGTCCAGTACCGCTGTGTCCTAAATCCAACGGAATGTCACTGACAAACAACTGATGTTACTTCAGCTCGGTGCTGACTCAAGTCAAATTCATTCACTTTAGCATATTCCTACCGCTTAATGATTTTGCATAGCAGATACACTGCTTTGCTACATATCTGTGTATTTACTTTTTGTTCGAGTTGTACTTTGTATCACTTTCATATCAACACATAAGATTTAGTCCTTGAGGTTTTACTACTTATAGTCCTTATAAGTACTATGTTAGGAGATAAATGAGACAGTTTAAATGTGACTTATCATTATTGGCATGTATAAGGGGTTGTTTTGAAGGAGGAGAAATAACGAACAGTTTTGAACTTAGGTCTTTGTATGAATGTAATCAAAAGTATTGAAAAATTCAATGAATTCTGTTGAATATCTAATAATTGGCACGTATAATAATCTGTCCTAGTATCCTATCACTATCGGTGAGGAGATCCCAGTGTAGAATAAGAATCGAGGATCACGTATTTGCCTTATTAAAAACAGTGCCATTTCGAAGCGATGACTGAACTGATTCCTTACAAGCCAATCTGTTCACAAGAAGTAAATCATCTAAATGTTTAGTGGCAGTGTGGAGTATACATTTTCATTGTTGGTTGGATATAGAACTAGGTTTTGTGATTGTTGGTACTTGGCAGTAAAGTGTATCTGCAATGTCAAAGTGACTGGAATTCCCTGAGAGATTTAAACCCATGACAACCGGTGCTGCAGTCACAGAGGTTACCAGTGGGCAATACAGGACATGACTAACCTTATGTAGGACCGGATCAGATACACTGTATTGACATTCATTAAAGGTTTCAGTTCAGTCATTGTGATATTAACTGGTGTGATGTGAATTGATACTTCTTTCAATACATGATGAACAAAGTCATAAGCTGATACCTCTGAAAAGACAATATATGAATAACTTAGACGTTATTCAAGCAAGTCAACATTTGAAAATCGGCTGGTGGAAACCGTTAAATTAAAACTCATCTTCTGTTTAGAAAGGAATATAAAGTTCGGAAATTACTTTGAAACTATATTGAGCTGGTATTACCAAAGATAAGATTTTCCGATTTTTTTCCTACAATAGAACTAGTAATTAATTAAACACCACGTTTCATTTTAGCTTCACTTCTTACTCACCGAATACCCAGGTATTCATACATAATATTTACAGAGTTTTCATTTAAAACCGTTGATTTTTGATTAAAGGTTTCGGTATATTGACCTAAAACTGTCTCACACCGTTAGAATATATTACTGAACAATTATATTAGTAGTAGGTTACACAAGTTGACCTGTAAGCTTTATCAGTCAAGCAAGAGTAGTGGAAAAGTCAGACATATGTTAGAATCCTTTGGATCTAAACTCATTAGGAGCGTACACTTATAAATTAACTACTGGTCTAATCTACGGAAAAGTATTCCATCTATGTTAGGTGATCGAAGCCACATGGTCCGTTCACTTCTAGCAAATAAGCCTAATCGTTCTGAGTTCTCAGATGATGAGCTCAGTAATGATAGAGTCAACCTCTTTTGTGCCTAGGAAAACTTGAAGCTGATTATTAAAATCAAATTGGACGGAAATGACACTGATGACTGTCTGTCAACCACAACTTTGAAGACTTAGATAACCCAATTCGAGTATATTCTGTACGAAGATACTGAGAATTTTAAGTACTTCCTTGTTTTCACCATTTTAAATCACAAAATCAAATGCGAACAAAAGAATATGAGAGTTATAGTTTGATACAAATGCTTGACAGAAAATCTATCGCAAACAATGTAGAATAAAGATATGCTGTGGTTATATTGAAAGAGTAACAGTTTTCATAATGACGCAGTCCATTCATGCTTTTTTTAATTCCACATGTTTCATTTTATAAATAGGATATATTTTTGAAGAGTGTTGAATCTAAACCAAGATACGGAGATAACTAGTAGGTGTTTATTTGTTTTTTATTTTTTACTAATAATGGAGTAATATAAGTAATCTGAACGCGCATCGGTCTAGATTACTTTTCCAGGAACTATATCACGGATTGAGATCATTTGGAGAACCGTTGAAGACTTGGGAACAGTGGACAGCTGTTGCTTCCTATTATAGGACCCTTCAATTTTGTGTATCCACAGTCTGACCAGAAATGAAACCCCGGATCTTTAGGTTATGTGGCAAACATGTTACCACTCAACCATTAGGTCGGAACCCAGAAGTCTAAATCTTTCTACTTCTGTCAACTCATGATAAAGTGCCACTAATTACCAGTATCATCAATGGGTGCCTACTTTCACCCTAAATCTTCCTGGTTGTGGTTGACTGGATCATGCAGTAAACCATGAGGAGCGAGAAGATGGACATACCCTGTTTGACCGATGAGAAGACCCTAGAGGATTTGGATTTCGCTGATGATTTACGTTTAATGTGGCACAAACTCGATGATCTACAGGCGAAAACTGACAAGTTGGCAGAACAGGCAGAGGAAACGGGACTTCAAGTGAATGTAGAGAAGACAGAAGTGATGAAGATACCCAACAAACAAACAACAACAGCAACAACAAGCACCAATCACCATCAACGGGATAAACCTAAACAAAAGTTGTCTCTTTCAACTACCCACCTACCTAGGCAGCATCGTTTCAACTACAGGCGGCACAGACGAGGATGTCAAAACCAGGATCGGAAAAGCAAGACAGGCCTTCTTTAACCTGAAACCAACGTGGAGATCTACTGTACTCCACTCAGCACAAAGAACAAGATCCGGATTCTCGACACTAATGCCAGTCAAGTCAGTGCTGCTATATGGTTCAGAAACTTGACGTGTCACGAAAACCATTTCCAACAAACTACAGACATTCATCAACAGCCGCCTACGCTGGCTCGATACTGAAGATCATATGGCCAGAATAATAAGAATAAGCAGCACGAAACTCTGGCTAGCAACAAACCAACCAACAACCTATCACCCAACAAATATGCAGGAGACGAAAGTGGAGATGGACTGGGCATACACTGAGAAGGTCGATTGGGGACATCACGCGTCAGGTCAGACCGGGCTGTCGAGTGGAATCCAAAGGGGAAACGACGAGTTGGGTGTCCGAGGTGGGGGTGACATGGAGGAGATAGTGTAAGGAAGAAATGGAAGCTTGTGTGCAGTCGTGGAGCCAGGTTGAGACGACTGTAGAGAAAAGAGTGTGATGGAGGCGTGCTACTGAAGCCCTATGTTCCACTAGGAACCCTAGATAAAAAAATAGTAATAATAATAATACCAATGGAAATCAGCTTTACTTCACAGGTTACGTCTTTCCAATAGAACTTCATGAAATCCATTTCGAAAAATGGCACCAATAAATGCTGGACAGTAATTCAGTTTGGGTGGTCATGGAGATAAATTGATTCCATGCAGATAGACAGACAAACATACAGGTAGACATAAGTAAATACGCAGATAGACAAACAGACAGAGCGACAAAATCATGTTGCCACACTTCACAGTAAACAATGAAAAGGTGGAGAGAATAAGAGGAATAAAGTGGAGAAAGCAGTAAGAGAAAACAAGCAGTTTGAACGTTCAAGCTTCAGAGTATATCGAGGAGAAAATACATCTGGGCCGTTGTAACCGATTTCCAGCCATGTCATGAACATTCCTCAACTTCAAGTAATTCCCATTGCCTCAGGGACCCCAATCACACAGTCTATATCTTCCTACACGACTCAGACCAACAGTCAGAGACTTCATGCACTAATACCACGTTTTGGCCTGACCACCCTGAGCCCTCTCTCGACCTTCGCCTAGCATTGCATGTTGGAGTTGGCAGTGGCTTGGCATAGGCAGCACATATCCAAGCCATTACAGTCCACTGAGGTTCACAACTTTATTAGTCGAATTACCTTTCTTGCCTAATACCCTTCGCTTGACTGACCTTAACGTTGTTCACAGGGCGCTTCCACCAAATGTGAGCAGTGCTATGAAAACATCTGTTATCAAAACCTTGTAACCGTTTCTTGTCTTCTACTTTGAACGATAATTTATCACAGCAGTATAACTAGACAGAGTAGACCGCAGCGCAGTATACTCGTCCTTAGACAGATATTCGTATATGCAACAAGCAGATGCCAGATATGACTCAAGTTAACAAGTGCTAAGTGGGCCTTTTACATCCGAGCTGCGATTTTGTCAGCAACCAGCTTGTTCGGTTGATACAACTCCCCAAGTGAGTGAAGTGACTGCTCAATTTCATTGTGGTATTAAATACAGAATGCAATCCGAGTTTTATATTTTTAAGGCAACTGTCTGTAACTGATTTCACCAAAGTCAATCAGAAAAGAGATATTTTATAGTTAAGCAGCCATGAGTATACAGACAGCCAGGTTGCTGTGAATCAGAGTTAAAAAGAATTTTTAGAAGATCGCCCATCAGTATAGTCAGTGTACGCCGGAAGAAACTCTTAATACTGCGTTTAATGGTTAGGGTATGAGCCTACTCAAAGTAAGATAGTGGTTCTTATCCTAATGTAACTTGATAGTGTGTTTAGTTTGCTGTAAAAACAGAAATGAAGGCCTTATTAAAACTAAATGATACAAAAAGAATCATTTTATTTGGCTTCATATTTGATCGTGTATTGGAAAAGTTTAAAAACAAACCACTCTAGGTGACTTCTAGCCGTGATAAGTGCTAAAATCAAGGTTTGTGAAATCTTTTTGCCAAATCATTTTCTCCTACCTAATCATTGCGTTAGCGGCTAAACTGCAACACGTTGTTTTGTATTTCTATTTTT